GTGCATATGCATCCGAAGAAGTGGGCTGTAGTCCACGAAAGCTTATGCTCTAATAAATTTGTTAGTCTCTAAGGTGCCACAAGTACTCCTGTTCTTCTTTTTAAATGACTGAAGTAGTTTGGAAAATTCCACACTTGGGTGTCTAAATATAGGTTTAGGAGCCTAGCTATAATCTCATACTTTGGAAAAATTTGACCGGTATGTAAAAGAGCATTAACTTTGTTAATGTATGAAAAGTTAAACTCTTAACACTGAAATAAAAATTGTTTCAAAGTGGCAGACTTCATGCCACTAAAGTTTGTAATAAAAAAAAGAAAAGAACTTCAGCAATGTAGTCCCATTGACTTCAATAGCATCATTCGTGAGAGTGACATTATATTACTGCCTAAGTGTTTGCAGGATCAGGGCCCTTTAATTCTCAATATTTTATTTTTTCCCTATAGCAGTTTTCCCAAACAGAATACCCTTACTAATACTTAGATTAAAAATTATATTTATAATTGTTTATTTAGATTAAAATTTAATATTAATTTAAGTTGCAATAGTACAACTCTCAAATTAGCTTTACAAACCTGACTTGAGTGATTTAAATCACTCTATTTAAAAATTGCTTAAATTGCCTCGATTTTTAATTGTTCTGTCTTGTAAAATGTTATTCCATAAGAGCCATGTGTCAGAGCATGGCTAGTGTCCTAGTGTTCTTTTTTAAAGGACAAAACATTTATCAGAACCATTTTGGCTTGTGTCAAATAATATTGGCTTCTTTTTCAAATGAATATTGAAGTTAACAGACCCCAAAATAAAACACGATGCTTGGAAGCAGAAATATGGTGTGGCAAGCAACAAACCATATATCTTGTGTCATCCTTCTGATAGTAGTGCTTCAAGTAACATTCCACAACTTCCCCCTCTGCTCTGGCAGCAGACACCTCCCTGCAATCTGAATTGGGAGCCTAGCTATTGTTCTGGCCTGACTTCTTCTCTAGATCACCCCAGGCCTGCTTCAGCTTGGTTGCTCTCTGGAACCAAGCCTCACTTTTGAGCATTGTCCTAACCTTGCTTTGCTGTTCTTGGAAAGTATCTGAGTTGGGCCACCTAAGCAGTCCTGGCCTCATCCTGTGTGATCCTGCAAACTACTGGAACAGCCCTGTCTTTCTCTCTTAGGAGATGAACCTTCCCATCACTATCTCTCATGCTCCACACAGTCCCGACTGCGCTATCTAGCCCCAGTGCTCATGAACCAAATGAATCATCTGCTGGAGAATTGGTTGGTTTTGTGAGGAGAGGAACAGAATGTGCAGGTTAAGCTTAGGACATGGTTACTACAAACAGAAAACGCCTTCCAGTTAGGAAACACATGCTTACCTTTAAGCTAATGAGTAGTCTCATTGACTTTAATCATATGTTTTAAATTATGGACATTGGTAAGTATTTGCAGGAGTGGGCCTAAATAAGCTTATTTTCTCAATATTATGGAGGTGCTAGACATAGTTGTTCTGATCTTCTGCTTGGAGAGATCCTCACCCATTATTTCAGCCCTCACTCTCTTCTTGCTGAAGCTGTCAGTGATACCAGCTTCATTCAGAAGATAAGCCTTATCACCTCCTGGCAGTTATTCTTGAGGCCTGAAGCAAGATTGTGGCCCAAGATGTACTGACTGTTTATGAGTCCCTCAGCTTTAGGGCTCCCAACTTGAGCCATTTTAAAGAAGACTGGTTTTCAGAAGTGCTGAACACTGACCCAATGAAAATCATAAACCTTTAAGGTGTCAAGTTGGGCACCCAAAGTTACTGGTCCCTTTTGAAAAACTTAACTTTTAGTGATTGTGGAATTAAGGAAAAAGTCTTATCGACTTAAGGACACACCAGACCTCAGTGCCCTGGTCTAGATACCTACCCAAGTGATTGTGCTTACTATTCCAATTGTAAATAGATTCTGCATGAGTTAGTGCACAGGTAATTCTGGGGGGGAGGAGAGGTCTTATGGCTATTTGGAACTGTGTTACTATTGTAGCCAAGACAATTTATCACTCTTTTCCTTCCGCATCCCACTTCTGGAGAGCTCCTACCTAGGACAGAACTATTACTAGGGCTGCACATGTGTCAGGGCATTTTTTTATCAAAAATCACAGAGCAGTCATGGTAAATTTAGTAAAAGTCATGGGTCTAGTCACTGCTGTGTGATTTTCAATTAAAAAATGCCCTGACAAATAAGGGGGCACCGGCCACCCATAGTAGCACTCTCTGCCCCAGCACCACATCCTAACCCTGTTCCGGTGAGCAGGGGGCATTTGGGGAGGCTGGAGAGCAAACTTGGCACAGGCAGCCGTGGTATCTGACCACTGGGGCTGGGCCCAGGGATTGATAGTGACCCCTTGACATGAGCCCAGGGGGTTGAGAGCGAGCCTATCCCGCACTCACCTCGGGCACAGGCAGCAGCAGCTCCTGTGTCTTGCAGGGCTGGACACATGGCATCACAATACCACTCAGCCAAGATTTGACCCAGCTCCCCCCTGTCCCTCTCTGTCCTGACAGAGGGGCAACAAGGCAAAATTTGAGTGAGTGGTGTTGCAACCCCGTGCGCCAGGTTGCAACACCCAGAGTGGGGAGCTGAACCCAGTCCCATGGGATACAGCAGCTGCTGCTGTGGGGTCAGTGCAGGGTGAGAGCACTCTCCAACACCCCATCCAGCCACCCCATGTCCAGGGCCTACAGTCTTCCTGCAGGATGTCATGGACAGAACGAGAAATCACAGTATCTAACTTTCTCCACTGTGACACACTGGCAGCCCTAACTATTACCTATGTGGATTGTAGTAGCTGCCAAAGTGTACTAGGCACTTCCCAAACTCGGCGGGAGAAAGTCATTTAGTCAGATGATTTACCATGGAATGAATGAAAACTCCATTATTAAACAAAACTAGTTGTTACACACTCAACTATGATCAACACAGCTGTATATATGAGTGGGCCAGGTGTATATGTGAACTTAACTGTGTTGATCACCAATTTTGCTGTGGAATGCAGAAATCTACACATACCAAAAGTAGTAAAGATTTCAGATCTTACTATGCTTGCAACACTAGATCAATAGTTAGACTCTGGAGATTCTAATCACCTTGCACTTGTTTCAGAAGTTTTTTGGTTTCCTTCAGCATCCTTTATTTTACAAGATTAAACTTTTTTGGTTGAGAGGTTGCTGTTTGTCATAAAATGTACACCATAACACATCCAAGATATTGCAGCATCAGACTTGATGCTGTTGAAAGCTTTACTTGCGCATTTAGTTATACCTACACTTTTCTCTCCACTGTTCTTGCTACAGTTTTTGCTGTAACAATACAAGTAGTGTGTGTTGTACTCTGTTTGCTTCATTTGGGTAGTATTCTCTCTTCCTCATCCTCAGAATTCAGGCAGTCCCTCTCAGACTGTACATAGGGAAAACAGCAAAAATATTTTTCTTGTTGTGTCCAAAATGGCTGATTCTTCTGCTGGAAGGATGATTGGATACAAGGAAACAAATTCTCCTGTTACTCACTGACTCTATTGACTTTAATGGAGTTGCACTACACTAACAGAAGAGGACTCGGAGCACCATGTGCTGATATCTAATCATACACATCCCCTTGTCATGCCTAAGCAGTTTGAGTACTGCAATTTGAACTTGGCTATTTTCAGGAAACTTATAGCGTTGTTTGTACGTTAGGGTTGGTCTGGTTTTAACTTGAATTTCATTACATTTATTTGCAGGAGTGAACTGTGAGAATAACTTGGATGACTGTGCAAGTAACCCTTGCATTTATGGAGTCTGTCTCGATGGCATTAATCGCTACGATTGTGTCTGCAAGTCTGGATTTACAGGTACCATGTACTTTCATTTAACAGATATTGTACTCAGCTTTGCCTTGAAGATAATCATCTCTCCCTTGGGAGGAGTTCTTTGTTCATTGATAGCAAGTGGCCTATTCAGTGTCTCAAGAAATAATTCGTATTCTTAATGAGTCTCAGTATCTCTTAATTTCAACGCACGTTCTGCCCATCGACTAAAGAAATGTCTTAGCTTGGTGCCATGAATTGTAATTCTTTTAGGGTTATTTAGTCCAATTCACATGACTCAGCTTCATAAGAAATAATGATCCAAAATCCCAATGGGTTTACTTACAGCTTTTTTATTGGAACAAGAAAGTTGTACATCATAGCAAGGGGTCTCTGTACAGAACTTGGAGAATTGGGCCAACTTGTATACAAATTAAATGTTTCCCTTTCCTTCTGCAAATATAAAGCATTCAGTTAGTTTTATAATGTGCACAAGTGCACAGCTACTATGGTACAAAAGTCACCATCAGCCAACCTACTGCTCCTTGGATGGAGTTTATTCATTGGTTTAAATTGTTCTGTTTGTATTAAAATCATTTGTATCCTGCAGATGTGCTAATTGAAAGAAACATTATTGGCCCATTGTGTTAGTGATCTGAACTAAATATCACACAGACCAGCCCCAATGTTTCCAATGTCTTATGCAATATTGTAGCTGGGTCAGTCCCACGATATTAGAGAGGCAAGGTGGGTGAGATAACATCTTTTATTGGACCAGCTTCTGTTGGTGAGAGACAAGCTTTTGAGCTTACAAAGAGCACTTCTTCAGGTCCTGTGTCCTTTGTCTAAAAGGTCAAAACATGCTTTGCCTGCTGTGAGCCAGACTACATAATGAATTCATAAAATTAATGCACATGAGAGAACATGCTGAATGTCTTGTTATAACAATCCCTTAGCTAATATGTCACTATTGTTACTGAAAGATTCCAATCAGAACTGATCCAAAATCTCTTCTCAGAAATAGCCCCAAAGAGATAACACTCATTTTATGCATTTCTATTGACTAATCTTTTAAAACTTCCACCTGAAGGAAGGAAATTCACTTTAAAAAAACATGGAGGTATAACTAAGCCCAAATGGAACGAGGTATGTTCCTGACCACTCTTGCCTTTGGGCCTCCTCTAGCTTTGGGCGCCATGTTAGCCACCATTGACCTTCCTGCTTTTGTGCTGTTAAAATACTTCATCACACTTGTGAATCAGAATGTTCCAGTATTCAGGACCTGCAACTTCCTTCAGGTCAAGGGCTCGAGCTAGAGTGTGAAATAGATGATTCACTTTTTAAGGCCTGGAATATATATATATATATTTTTAAACTTATAGTAGTGCCCAATCTATGCCAGGTACTTTGCAGATTCACAGGAAGGAGCAGACCCTTGAGGAACTTGCAGTCTAAGCATAGCTGGCAAGTAGGCAGAGGTTAGGGAAAATAAGAAGCAATATACTCTTGTATTTAATATGCACAAGATCTAGATGCACTGTAGGCATTATGGCAGGAATGGGTATTCAAGAGGTACTTAAATGTGGAAAGGATAGGTGCCTAGCTGATAAACCCAGGAAGGTTGCACCAGGTATACTACAATTACATAATTTTCAATCCTCCTAAAGAATGTATATAATTCTGTTCCCATTGCAATTCTGTTGTAGCTTTTTAACAGTTCCAGAAGGCTTATGAGATGTAGATGCTCTGCTCCTGATACGAACACCCCCATCTTTCAAAAACATTGAATGCTTTAAACTCCCATAGGCTTAAATCTGAGTCAAAGCTGTCATACCTTCCAGGATCGGTCACTTTATGTTGACTTTGTATGGATGATGCGTCACTGAATCTTGATAAATGTTCCTGCATACATGCGGGGTAAACTTGTGTGTGAGAAATACTAATTAACAAGTAATATTCTTTTCAGGTCCAAGGTGTAATATTGATATTGATGAATGCATCTCCAGTCCCTGTCATAATGGTGGAACATGTGTAAATGAAATGAATGGATTTCGGTGTCTGTGTCCTGAAGGTTTCCATCAACCCAGCTGTCACTCGCAAGCTGATGAATGTCTTAGTAACCCTTGTGTACATGGAAACTGCACAAATGATGTCAGTGGGTGAGTTCTACCATTGTGTTAAGACCAGTTTCTAAACACTTCTTTCCAGTATTTTGTATGGAAAAGTCCGCATTGGGCCTTGACCACTGTTGAGTGTTTAGGAAGGCGCTGAAGCACATGGAGTGTTTCAGTGCTTGAAAGTAGTTGGTTTTGATGGGATTTCTTCCTTGCATCTGGAGTGCCATATGCTAAATGTGTCATTTGCAATGACCTTTTTGTTCCTGCTTGGTTCTCTCATTGTTTGGTTGCCCATTGGGCTTATTGTTAATGAGCCGACCCAGCTACTCTAAACACCTTTGAATTACAGTTTTTCAATAAATGCCCTAAATATCATCTGCTGTGAAGATTCTGGTTCTCCCCAGTTTATTTCTTATTTAGACAACTATCCAAACTTGTTTATATTGCAGCTTATCATGGCCACTTTACAGTCCCCATGGGCTAGCTGCAGCTCACCCCAGGTAGTTTTCTGTGCTATTCTAACATAGGGCCTCTGCCTGGTCATACAATCTTACCCCTGCCATTCTTTATAGATTCTTATGCCATGCTTATCATCATAGTATCGGAGCACCTTCTAGTAGCATTAAGTGTTGTGCCTCATATGTGCTTTGTTCTCTCATCTCTCCCCCGGAGAAAAATTGTGTGTGCAGAGCAGTGCTTAGTTTTGGTAGGATTTTAAATGTATATTTGGCTGTGTGTTTGGTATTAGAGAATACAGGTAAAGTGTGCCTCGCCCTTGGAGTGGTATGGGATGGTCCTTAGTTCCTCTAGGATTTCTTTCCAAACTCTTGGACTGTGCCTTGAGAAAGTTCTGCCTGGCACACACAAAAGCTTTACCTCTACTGTAAAGAGTTTCGTTGTGCCTGAGGAGTAGAGTTGTTGACCCCGGTTTTCATCCAGATTTTAGGTCGTCTCGTCGATATTCTGGGTCTGGGCCCTTGTGCACCTTTAAGATCAGGACTGAGAACTGGATATTCTAGGGGAAGTCAGCATAGAGAGCACAGGACAGATCTGGTGGGCTTGCGGTATCCTATATTGTTGAGAGGCACTGCAGTGTTCTGCACTAGCTAGAGTTTCATAGGGGCTGAGAGCTTCATGCCCAGATATATCACATTGTTGTAGTCCAGCCAAGAGGTGGTGAAAGTATGTACAACAGGGGCCAGGTCATTATCCGCCAAGATACTTTTCAGTCCACTGAACGGCATTTGGCTGCTTTTCTCTGGTCAGGTCTGTCAGTGGGGTGGCAATTTGGCTGTAGTGTGGTACAAATTGTCGATAATACCCGGCCGAGCCCAAGAAGGATTGGACCTGTTTCTTTGACTTAGGTACAGGCCAATTTTGGATAGCATTTACCTTAGCCTGTAGGGGGTTGATAGTACCTTGACCCACCTTGTGTCCAAGGTACATTACCCTATTTAGGCCTATTTGACACTTTTTGGCCTTTATGGTTAATCCTGCCTCCCTTATGTGCTGGAAGAGAGCTTGGAGGTGCCCCAGGTGTTCTCCCAGGAATCTGAGAATATAGCCACATCGTCAAGGTAGGCAACTGCAAATTCCCCAAATCCACCAGAAGGTTATCTACCAGTCTCTGGAAGGTGGCGGGTGCATTTCGCAGTCTGAAAGGGAGCACATTAAATTCATACAACCCTACATGGATGATGAAGGTTGACCTTTCCTTGACAAGGTCATCTAGCAGCACTTGCCAGTACCCCTTAGTTAAGTTTAAGGTGGAGATGAACTGGGCACGTCCCAGTTTCTCCAATAAGCCTATCTGTGCACGGCCTTGGATAGTTTTCTGGGCGAGTTATGCCATTTAGCTTACAGTAGTCCACACAAAGGCGGATTTCTCCATCTGGTTTGGGAACCAGAACCACTGGAGAGGCCCATGCACTTTCACCATCTGTAACATGTCCTTGATCTCCCTTTCTATTGCGGTTTTGGCTTGAGGAGCCATCCGGTAAGGTTGGGCTCTAATTGGGTGAGCATCACCTGTGTCAATGGAGTGGTACGCCCGTTCTGTCCATCCTGGGGTAGCTGAAAACATTGGTGCGAAGCTGGTGCACAGCTCCTGGATTTGCTGTCGCTGCTTATGCCCAATGGTCATGGAAAGGCTCACCACTTCCACGCCACCATTGCTTTTTCCTTCATAGTAAACTCTTTCAGATCACTCAGCGTTGTCTCTCTCCTGGGCTGTAAACTGGAGAACCTTGATTTCTCTGGAATAAAAGGGCTTTAGAGAATTAACATGGTATACTTTAGGTTTTAGGGTAGGGTCTGGGAACGCTAGGAGGTAATTAACAGCTCCCAGGCACTCTTGGACCATAAATGGCTCCTCCCACGATGCTTCCATCTTATTGGCCTGGAGCATTTTCAGGACCATAACTTGGTCACGTACTTTGAAGGAACACATTCTGGCATGTTTATCATACCAAGCCTTTTGCTTTTGTTGAGCATCCTGTAGGTTTTTTCGAGCAAGGGTTAGAGAGTCCTTGAGAGTGTTTTGCAGGTTCGTTACAAAGTCCAAAATGTTAGTTCCTGGAGAAGATGTAACCCCCTCCCATTGCTGCTTCACCAACTGTAATGGCTCCTTAACTTTGTGGCCATAAACGAGTTCAAAAGGTGAAAATCCAAACTGGGATGTGGTACAGCCCTGTAGGCAAAAAGCAACTGCTGCAACACTAGGTCCCAATCATTGGAGTGTTCATTCATGAGTTCAGGCTGAATCCCCACTCTCTCACTCCGAGGGGGTGTGCAAGGATTCTAAAAATTAATACATGCCACTCCAGGCTTGTATTAAACCCCCAAGGTTACAGCTTTTCTCTGACCTTGGCTTGGTAAACGCTGCCACCACCCAAATGCAAAAAAACCCCTTTGAATCCAGGAAGGAGCACTTGGGAATTCCTCCCTGTGGGGTACCCTTTCACACACCCCCTCCAGGGAAGAGCTGAGAATGAAACAAAGGAAATTAGCTGTGGCTATCAGCTAATCAAACAACATGCACAAACCTTTTAGGACACCAAAAATCCAATACTGATCTTAAAAAAGGTAAATTTTATTAAAAAACAAAAAGGGAAAAAATACATCTGGAACTTAGGCTTTTTGCTAGATCTTAAAAGAAACAATTACAAAAATTAAGCACCCAAAACCGCTTTCTTGGGGGTTCAGCTTAAAGGTTACAAGCAAACAAAAGCATGGGGGGTTAGCACAGAGGAGATCCACAAGCCTTAAAAAACAAACAGAAATAAACGTGATTGCGTCTAGCTAAACATTCTGATCTACTTACACATGTGGAGTTCAGATAAATAGTTCTAGGCATGATCTGATGATTTATGATCATACCTGGCTTAGCTGCTTATAGCATGGCTGCTCTGTCCCTCCAGCCCAGAGAGCACAGACAAAGGGAAAGTTTCTTTCCCCATTTTAAGAAGTTCTACCTTCCCATTGGCTCTTTTGGTCAGGTGCCTGCTTTTTTTTTTCCTCTTTACCTGGGGGACTTTTTAACCCTTTACAGGAAGCAAATAAAGAACAGCTACCAAGAGGGATTTTATAGCTAACTGGCTGGCTGGGTGTCCATCAAAGGGACCTAACCCCCCCCCACCCACACACACACACTTTATTTATCACACTCGGGTTCAGTTTCAGCCAGCTGTTCTTCATCCATGAGCTGATATCATCCAAGCCCTGGACTATTTTAGTGGTATATGGTGAAGGATAAATAGAACTGTGTTGTCTGCATATTACTGGCACAAGAATCTATGTCCTCTTATCTGTTCAGATGGATCCGTATAGGTGTTGAATAAGATTGGAGAGTGAATTGATCCTTTTGGAACTTCTATAGATGCAGCAGTGCAGTTTCCTATTACTATTTGTCCCTACCGGATTGATTTAAACCATTTTAGTGAGCTCCCCTGAACCCATCATGTCTCTTAGGCAGGACTGCAGTATCTCATGGCTGGCCATGGGGAATGCTGCAGCGAGACCCAGGAGGCTGAGATTGGATGTCTGCCCGGTATCCACTGACAGCAGGAGTTCATCCAGCAGTGCCACTGAAGCAATTTCAGGCCCATATCCTGCCCCGAATCCAGATTATGCCAGGTCTGGAATATTAGCTTCAGTTAGATGAGCATGTAGTTGGCCTTTGGCTAGCGACTGCGAGCTTGCTCAGGAGTGTTAGATTGATACTAGTCAGTGCCCAGCTAGAACCGATGTGTCCAGGGCAGGTTTCTTCGGTGCTGGTCACACTATTGCATGCTTGAAGGGGAAAGGGAAGATTCCTTCTCTGACTGAGGCATTGGGTATTTTGGTCAGGAGTGGTGCCATGACTCTTTCATAAGCTCCTTTAGGGTTTCCAGCTTCCTTAAGGAGTGAATGTGCTGCGCTCCCGGAATGCAAGCAGGCTGTTGGTGGTTGGGTACAGGTAGAGAGGGCCCATGTTGTTTGAGAAACCGTTCAAATGTGAGTTATCTTTTCAGCGCAGCAGGATGATGGTTCTTGCAGCACTTGGTTCTGGGCTCTGATGCGGGCTGTAAGCACTCAGGATTAAATAAACTTTTTACCACTCTGGATAGCTCCTTAGGGCAGCTACTATGGAAGCTGATTGGAAGATTCTCTTGGTCTGTAATGCAGCCTCAGCCTAGGCTTGGAAAAATTCTTTGTATCAACCTTCATTTTCTGCCATCATCACTTGAGTTTCTCCCCCTCTTCATTTGGCACAGGATGCCAGAAAGCCAAGATGATCTGTGTGGGTGATGTGAGGGGTGGGGCATTTGGGGTGTGTATCAGTGGTTGAGGCTAGAGTGGACAGATAATGATTCACCAGATCCTTGATTACTTGTCCTGTGAATGGAGTGGTGCTGTCCTTTATTAAGCTTTGGAATTTGATGGAGTGGATTGCCGCTTCTCTTGGCTGCTTTCATCTGGAATCCCTTCACTTCATCAGCTCTCTCTATTTGGATTCGAAAGCCATCTTTCTTCCTTGCTTGTACCTTGTCATTTCTTTAGCGTCTACTAACATTTTGAGATGGCTTGCCAAGAAAAGCGTGATGCAGAATAAAACTGTATTTTATTAAGATAACTAGTACTGGACATGTAGCTTTAAAGATTGGGTTGGTTTTAATATTAGGAAAATTGTATAGCTGGTGTGACTAAGGTAAAAATGATGAACCTTTCTAAGGGCAAATCATCTCCATGTCCCTCCCCTTTCAGCTTATCTATCTGCCTAGACTTGTGGATAGAACAGCTGCTTCAGAATAGTACTGAAACATGCTATTTTCTTTCAGATACATGTGTCTCTGTGACCCTGGTTGGGTTGGAACAGACTGTGAAGTGGAAGAGAATGCATGTCTGTCAAACCCGTGCCAGAATGGGGGAATTTGTGACAGTCTGGTGAATGGATACAGATGTATCTGCAGGAAAGGATTCAAAGGTGAGCTTGAAGGACGAGTTTTTGAGCTCTGTTGCACTAAGATGCAATAAAATGGAAGACAACAATCTTCTTACTAAAGTAAATGAAATGAGGGATAATCTCAATACCATCCTCTGAAATTTAAAATTCGAGTGATATTTGAATTGAAAACAATCTGATAATATAGGCATGATACAATGATTATAGGTGTAATTCCTGTAGAAAAATAGTGCTTGTAAGTCTATTACAAAGAGTAGGGAGTTCCTCCGTAATTATGGTTCACTTGTTCTCTATTAGAGCACCAATTTTGGCACTCCCTCTAAATTAAATCCCTTTCCACTGCAGATTTTAGAGGTCTGACCTATGGCCTCCTCAGGCATTTCTCCCACATTGGAGATGGTTTACACAATTAATTCTTGAGCAATGGGACTCATAAGAATTTTCACCACATTAATACCTATTAACTACTTCCACACCTCTTATCTTAAAAGTGGCTAATTAACTTAATTGAAAAGGTCTTGACAAGGTTTAGCGCGCTGGACTGGTTTTTGAACCAGAGTATGTGACTGGTGAATTAGGAACATAAAAATGGCCTGTCAGACAGTTGACTTTGAAGGTAACCAAAGCCCAAATAATTTAGGACTATGTCAAAAACACTTTAACCACAAGCTGGAAATGAATAGAAATTTAATGCAGACTACAGAGCACATGTTCTGTGGCTTATGCTCCCACTCAGTAAGCAGATGGTCTCATTCTGTATCCTATGAAGTTTTAATCACTTTCTTAGTGGTAATCAGGGTGGCTCATTTCAAACAATTGACAAGAAGGTGTGAGTAACAGTAGGGGGAAATTAGCATGGCAATTTAAAACTACAAAAACTAAAAAGGTTTGAGTGGTAGCTGTGTTAGTCTGTGTAAGCGTTTGGACTCACCCCTGCGGCGCCTCCTGCTGGTCGTGCGTGGGAATTAGCTCATTTCCAGCCTTGGAGCGCCCTCTGCAGGCCGGTGATCCGCCTTGTCACTTCTGGCCCCCCGTGTCTCTCCCAGGACCCCGGTGCCCCTTTAACTGGGTGCTGCCCCCCAACAATACCCCCACAATTCTGGGTCTCCCCCTCCCAGGGGAACCCCCACCCACTATCCCCACCTCGCCTCAGTGTACGGCTACTGCCAGTCATTGTCTAGCCCCTGCCCCCTGGGGCAGAATGCAGTCTCAGCCTACTCATCACTGGCAAGGTTGGGCTTGGACCTGCTGCCTTTGCCTACCCCTGGGCTGCCCTCTGCAACCCCCAGTACCTGTTGGCCTTATGCTAGGCCGCAGCCTGGGGGTTCCCCAGGCTGGAGCTCCCCAGCTCCTCTAGCCTTTCCTCAGCCCTGCTCCACTCAGGTACCTAGTCTCTAGCTCCCTGCAGCCAGGCCCTTCTCTCTCTGAATGCAGCGAGAGACTATTTTGTCTGCCCCTGGCTTTCCTGCCTTTATAGGGCCAGCTGAGCTGTTTGGGCCGTGGCCCCAGCTGCAGCCACTTCCCCCAATCACTTCAGCCTAAGAGCTGCTTTCTTCAGCCACAGCCCCCCTCCCAGAGCTGTTTTTAACCCCTCTGAACCAGAGCGGGGTGACCACCCTGCTACAGTCTGTATCAGCAAAAATCGTTCTTTTTGCAAAAACTAAAAACTAATTTCCCCATGCTAATTTCCCCCTACTGTTACTCTCACCTTCTTGTCAAATGTTTGAAATGAGTCACCCTGATTACCACTACAAAAGTGATTTTTCATCCTGTTGATAATAGCCCACTTTAATTGAATTGTCTCGTTAGAACTGACCCTCCACTTGGTAAGGCAACTCCCATCTTTTCATGTACTGTTATATATATCTTCCTATTGTATTTTCCACTCCATGCATCTGATGAAGTGGGTTTTAGCCCACAGAAGCTTATGCCCAAATAAATGTGTTAGTCTCTAAGGTGCCACAAGTACTCCTCGTTGTTTTTGCTGATACAGACTAACACGGCTACCCCTCTGAAACCTAAAAAACAAAAGTGTCCCGATGTTTTACACTTGCTTTCTGATCACCCTGTGACCACTTGTGCTATCAAGGGGCAGCTGTAGATTCAACCAGAGTCAGAAGCAGCCTCACCATAGAGGGCTGGACTAGCTGACCTATTGGAGTCCCTTCCAGCCCCACATTTCTCTGAATATGGTGAGCAGACTCTATCAATCACAGGAGCTTGTACGCTGAGCACCAGATGTTTTTGCCATTCTGCAGCGGTGGCATTTGCCACAGAAACCCATTCCTTGCTGTGAAAGCTAAACTTTCACTTAAACGTTCAGTGTGTTGCACACAAAAATGAACAGCTTTTAAGAGTCTTCCTGTGACTTGGCTTGGTTAGTTTCTTCTGACAATCACGTCACATACACAGACCTGGCCAAACATCAAAAGGGTGGGAAAAGAGTAACATGTAAAATGTCAGTACTGAAAAGTGTAGCAGGAACATAACACTAGCAGAGGAGGAAATAAAAGGATGGGGAGTAAGGGAATATTAGCAGGAGAGCAAAATACTAAAACTTTGCCTAACCCCTAGTGTCACGGGTATGGGATCTGTCTGTCTGAGTGAATCCCCTCAGGTGCCATGCCTCATGCCTTTCATAAAATCATAGAATATC